TTTAAAAATAGTTCCAATCAATAACAATAATAACTTACTAAAATAATACCTCAAGGTTCATGATAAATAATACGATTAAAATATGACACATGAAAGCAGTAACTCTCAACATAATAACTCGAATACCAAAACAATAACATAATATGACACAATTAATATCAAGGTATTATGAATTTTAACCCAACTGAAACGTTCAAAAATAACTAAAATAATCTTCAGAATAAAATTCAAAAATAATTTTATCGAGATAAGAGAATAAATTAAATAAAATCAATTGATAAAAATAAAATAATCAAAATACGATCAATTTATCCACTACAAAATAAAATACCCGAGTGTCGTTCCGCTAGGGACAACGGTAGTTTGCCGTTATTCCCGGCAACGGCGCCACCTGTCGACGGCATCGGCCCCCGCGTGAGCGAGGGCCCTCCCGGCCATGTCACGCAGGAGTAAAACAAAAAAAATCAAGATTGAGAGACAACTCGGGAACGACGCTAAGTATCCCGCGAACCGCCGAGACGGACGTGGTTGCATCGCTCCTTCGCCGCTCTAGCCGGGTGCGCCAGCCATACATCATGCGGTCCCCTACGACAGGATAGGTTCCCGCGGGGTATAAGCTTGCTTCCCTAAGGGGCTATCACCACCCTTAGGGGCGTATCCCTACCGAGCTACTGACCCACGTGCGAAAGCGTTTAGATGCAATTGCAGAGGTAGGTCAGCCGAGGGTGTTTGCTCGTTCATCGTAGTATAGATACGCTTGGTTAACGCCAAGTGGACCCGATCGCCGTCCGTTCCTATGACGCTGATCTTCTAGGTACGAAGCGGACGTCCGTCGATTAGGACTGTCCGGTCCATGACCGAGTGGCCTCACCCCTTTGCCTGTGGTCTTGCAGGCACTGCCTGCCTGAGGCCTTACAGGCCCTACCTGCTGCTTTCCCATGGATGGCTGCCCATCCACGGCTTCGAGTCATCCAACGGTGGGCCTCGGCATGGGTCTGTTGGTCTCCCCTTGCTCGAGGTCAACCCACGAGGCCCCCCAAAAAAAAAAAAACTTTCTATTCCTCCCGCGCCGTGGCCGCAAACCCGGCACGCTCCTCTTTTCAGCCTACTTAGGCCCTGAATCGCGCGGCTTAGCAGCCGTGCGATATTATTTTAGGTAGAACCAGTCTAACTTCAATGTTCCCATGTCCGCACGGCTCTGTGGCTTCAACAAAAGCGAAGCATAGTCGGTTACTGCCATTATTCTCAGATGTTGTAGACGTCCAGACTAGGGTTCTAAAAGTTTTAGTCTCTTGATCAAAGGCTAGGTTTGAATAAACTTTCAGCAAGCGTCGACCTCATCAAGTCCTTCAATTCAACGAAAAAGTCGGACAGTGTCCGACGTTGAAAAACCCCCTGCAAATACCCTTGTCAGGGTATTTGCCCCGACACTGTTCATGCATGGCTTAGACTCTAGGGTAGGGTAGGGATATAAGTCGCTCCAGCTTGTGATAAGCTAGGAACCATACTCCACGGTTTTCCGTACCCTTATGGGAAAATCCTACGGAAGCCCCGAACTACGGAGCCTAGGCGATTGGGAAAAATGGGGTGTATTTTCCTTTCTTTCTTTTTTGAGAAAACTACGGCGCAGTCAAGGTTACAGTTTGTAATTGCATTTGAAACTGTGTTTTAGCAGTTTAGTCAGGGTCCGAGTTTCAATTGCATTTGAAACTAGTCTTAGCAGTTTGAAACTCGAGCTGACTTTTTCTAGCAGTTCTGTCAGGCACATGGCCGTTTCTTTCTTTCTTGGGCTTTTTTTTTTTCGTTCGCCCCCGCGCTGCAGCTAAAAAAAAAAAAAAAAAAAAAAAAAAAAAAACAACCAAACAAACAAACAAACAGAACACCACATAAGAAAACAAAAAAAAAAAAAAAAAAAAAAAAAAAAAAAAAAAAAAAAAACCAAACAAACAAACAAACAGCCCCATGGTTGGGCCACGGCCAAGATGTCGCGGCCACACCCCAGACTGGCCATGGCCGAGATGTCTCGGCCACACCCCACACTGGCCATGGCCGAGATGTCTCGGCCACACCCCAGATTGGCCAGGGCCGAGATGTCTCGGCCACAACCGAGATTCGCAGGCACTACCCTTCACAGGCAAACGCGAAGTCTCAAGAAATTCGTTATCATGTCACGACATATTTCTAATGGATTTGTGAGCTCCGTAGGTGGTAGTGAGGCAAACGCCGGAGCTATGCGTGCAAAATGGGGGGATGGGTGCAAAATGGGTAGTGAGGGGTCATGAAAGTTGCGACGACGAACTCTTCGCGGTCTCTTCCCGGCAGTCGTTTTTTTTTTTTTTTTTTGTATTGTGTGTATCTTACCTGTGAAGGCGGACAGGCGCGCAATTCAATCCTCATAGGGCCTTGGCTCCAGGACTCAGCAGATGTGCAACCCAATGTGGTCGTTTAGGGATCTGCGGGCCGTGGGCGCCTTTCGGGTCTGCTACTATTTTTCACCTTACACAGCTGCAGAAGTGGGTCCACGGACGCTTCCCATGCAGCCGCCGTGGCGACCAGCGGTCCCCGACGACAGCGCAAGTCTCTCTCTCTCTCTCTCTCTCCCCAATCATCGTCGCTAGTGGGAACTCGTCGTCCGGATTTTCAGCACGCATCCACAAACACGTCCGGATACAGGCGTCAGATCCAATCATCTTCGCTAGTGGGACCTTCGCCCTCGCCCTCCTCATTCTCGCCTTTTCTTCCTCTCTACTCATGCGCTTCGCGTTCTATCGACTTTTCCTCCACTTGGCCTTCCTCCTCCTTCTCCTCCGCTTCTTCCGACTATTCCTCTTTGTCTTCCTTTTCCTCGTCGTCTTCTTCTTCATTTTTCTCTCCCTCTTTCTCTTCTCCTTCTGCTTCTCCTCCTCCTCCTCCTCTTCCTCTTCCTTCTTCTCCCCCCCCTCCTCTTCCTCGCTCTTTCTGTATATTCCTGTTCTTTTGGCAAGTGGCTACCATCTGCCCATGAATGGAACGGGAACGGTCATTATCGCTGTATCTGGACTTTGCCTCAAATACATCTCCTAGAATGACCGTGCGTTCTTTCCGGGGAGGGGAAGACAGTATT